CTCAGGGCGCAGAAGAGTATGGAGGGATGGACACTGGGAAGGGGCAACTATGGGGAGGAAGTGGGAGGGGAGCTGTTGCATTGTAAATTTTGGTCAATAACATGAGACAAAGTATATGTGAACTGCTGTATGAAAAGTGAATTTACTCTGTAAATCTTCACCCAAATCAAAATAAAATAAAAAAAAAAAAGCCCTCCATGGGCAGGTGGCATCCAGTGACCTAAACACAGACCGCCCGATGTTGTTGTTACATGCCGTGGAGTCGTACCCGACTCATAGCAACCCCTCCTTGGGTTTCTGAGGCAGTATCACTACGGAAGTAGATTGCCCAGTCTTCTTTCCAAGGAGTGGCTGGTGGGTTTGAACCGCCAGCCTTCTGGTTAGCAGTCAAGTGCCAGCACCATGCTACCAGAGCTCCCTGACCACCCGATAACGTACCCTATAAAATGGTGTTGATGATCCCTGTCTCTGAGAGATGGCATGAAGAGGGTTGGAGAGGTTTGTTGGATCACAGTCAGGAGGCAAGCGTGGCTGTATGATTGTGTTCAGTGTTAGGTACGTGGCTTTATTCCCATTTTGCAGCTGAGGAAACTGAAGCTCAAAGGGTACGTGACTTGGCCAGGGTGCTCATCCTCGCCTCTAGATCTCCTGAATGGTTGCTCAGGCCTGGTAGGGTGGGGGGGCAGACCTAAGCCCTGACTCCTGAAGGATACTGGTGTCTGCCTCCTTGCCTGACCTGCACCCCCAGACATCCACCCAGCTGGTGGTGCCTGGCCACCTGGCCCTGGGGGAAGATGCCCGGTGCTGACCGTCTGTCTCTCTGTCCAGGCCGCAGCTACGATGAGAAGGTGGATGTGTTTTCCTTTGGAATCGTCCTATGTGAGGTAGGTCCAGGTGTGGGCACTAGGTAGCACCAGCCAGGGCTTGGTGGCTCCCCATACACCCCAGCTGTAGGCAGAAAGTCTGTAGGGACCATGCACCACGGAGGCTCTGGGAATGGGCTGTTCCCAGGGGGGTGCGGGGGTCAGTCTGGGGCAAAGTGTGACCTGCCCGAGAATGCACTGGGGTGGTGGCACTCAGACCTTTGGCTCCCGAGGCCCCTGGAGTAACCAAGGGGCCTCGTGCGAGGCAGATCATCGGGCGGGTGAACGCAGACCCCGACTACCTGCCCCGCACCATGGACTTCGGCCTCAACGTGCGAGGCTTTCTGGACCGCTACTGTCCCCCCAGCTGCCCCCCGAGCTTCTTCCCCATCACTGTGCGCTGCTGTGACCTGGACCCTGAGAAGAGGTGAGTGCGGTGGGGGTGGGGGCTGCACCGGGGGCAGGGCTGGCCAGAGCAGAGCCAGCACCCACCACCCTTCCGCCTGTCGCCCAGGCCGTCCTTCCTGAAGCTGGAGCAGTGGCTGGAGACCCTCCACATGCACGTGGCCGGCCACCTGCCACTGGGCTCACAGCTGGAGCAGCTGGACAAGGGCTTCTGGGAGACCTACCGGCGTGGCGAGAGCGGACTGCCTGCCCACCCCGAGGTCCCAGACTGAGCCTGGCCCACCCAGCTGCCCCATTTCTGCCCTGCAGCCGGGTTCCAGCTCTACAGGAAGGGGCCAGGCGTGGAGCCCGCAACCAGGGCAGCAGAGGCCCAGCCCCCCCACTCCCAGCACCAGGCCCCTGACTTGCCTTCTCCCTTCCTGCTCGCGGCCCAGAGCTGGCGTGGCCGCGTGTGTGCCACCTCACCCTGCCTTACCTCTGTCGTGGTGGGGCTGCCCCCTCGCTTCTCATTGCATGAGCTGGCGGGGCCTGTGTGAGTCATGCCCCCAGCTACCCCGTTGCCCAGCGACCTCTGCACATGCCACCTCCACAGCCCTCTGAGGCTGGGCCGGAGATGCCTCAGCCCTGTGCCCAGGTGAAGGCTGGGTACGTAGGAGTGTGTGTGTCAAGGGAGAGGGGCCATGTTCCCAGGAGCCAAACAGGGAGCTAGGCCACGTCACCCCCCAGGGTGTCTAGGTAGCAGCAGGTATCGATAATCACCCAAACCCTCAGAGCAGAGGAAGGCCTATTCCTGCGGTGGATGTCCCCGTTGGCTAGGCAGCAGCCTTTTCTCTTGCTTTGGGTCTTTTTTGTTTCTTTTTTGAAGCCACTTTAGTGAGAAGCAGGTACCAGGCCTCAGGGTGAAGAGAGGGTCTCTGGAGAGGGAGGGGAACATGGTCCCTGGGCCCAAGCCATAGGGAGGAGCAAACCCAGGCCCAGGGAGGTTGGGCAGAGCTGACAGGGCAGGTGTCCACCAGCATCCCCGCCCCCAGGTTCATCTCAGCGTCCCCTCCCGGGCCTCACCCCGAGGCCCTTCCAGTGGCTGGAGTAACCCCTGCCCCTCCCCATGTCCCTCTGTCCTCTGGGTTCTTTCTGTGTAATCTATTTTTTAAGAAGAGTTTGTATTATTTTTTCATATGGCTGCAGCAGCAGCTGCCGGGGGCTTAGGGTTTTATTTTTTTGGCGGGCGGGGGTGGGGGGGCCATCTTGTCACTTTGCCTCAGTTGAGCATCTAGGAAGTATTAAAACTGTGACAGTTTCTCAGAGCACTTTGAACCTGGAAAACCACCGGAAAGGCCTGTGGGACCATGACTTAGGCAGGTGAGGCACACTCACCTCCATCCAGGAGCCGGGTGTCTACGGAACAAAACCCAGACGCAGAACAATAAATACATTCTCTACTCCCCACCCAGACCCTGCATCCTGGTGTGTGTCTGGGGTCCCCGGGGAAATGGACAAGACAAGAGGGGAACTTGGGAAGACATGAGCAGGGGGGAGGCAATCAAGGGGATGGCGGGCACCCCAGCCCCAGCCCGGTGGTGTGCGGAGCAGAGGGGGTGGCCTGGCCAGGACAACCCAAACCCACTGCCATCAAGTTGATTCCGATTCATAGCCACCCTCATTGAGTTTCCAAGGCTGTAAAATTTTTTATTATTGTTTTTGTGATTTGGGTGAAAGTTTACAGAGCAAATTCATTTTCTATAAAGCAGTTCCTACACATTTTGTTTCATTACATTGACTGAAATTCCCCACGATGTAACAGCTCTCTTCCCACTTTCCTGTAGTTAACGTCTTCCCTTTGTCATTCTTTCCTGCGCATTCCTGTCCCCTGAGCTGTCTCCCTGTGCAAATACTGCCCTTCTGTTCTCCCATGATTGATGATTGGAAGGAGTGTATCTACCTGATGTAAATGTTCACCCTATATGCCTGTCCATTGTTGGGTTGGAAGCCACAGGAGTGAGTTCAGTTCCAGACTTCTTTGCTCTGGATGAGGAGAGAACCGTTGTTGGATCTAGATGGCCGCTTGCAAGCTTTTAAGACTCCAGTCACTAAGCAGTCCCAAGCAGGATTTTTTTGTGGTACAGTGTTTTTTGTAGTATGTTATGCCAAGGCTGTAAATAGAGATTTACAGAAGTAGATTCCCTCTTCTTCCCATGGAGCAGCTGGTGGGTTTGAACTAACAAGCTTCCACTTAGCAGCCAGATGGTTTACCCACTACCTCACCAGAGCTCCTCAGCCAGGAGAAGGAGAGATTATTTGTTACCTGCAGGAAGCAACTGCCACCCCTTGGCTGGGGCACCAAGGAAAGACGTAGTTGTTTCAGTTCTCTACTGTGCCGAACAGCTCCCCACCCAGAAAAAAATATGTATTTATTGGTGGCATAAAATAGCAGTGATCCTTATTTCTGTTGGTCGGGAATTTGGAAGAAGCCTGGATAGGTAGGTTTGGTTTGAGTTTTTCTCGAGTTTGCAGTCAGGTTTTGCCTGTGGCTGGAGGGTTCACTTCCGAGGCCCCTTCCCCATGGTTCACTCACATTGCTGATATATTGGAACTGCCTATTGGTGGGAGGCCTCAGTTCATCGTGGGCCTTCCCCAGGGCTGCTTGGGTGTCCTCACAACGTGGCAGCTGCCCTGTAGAGGGAGTGATCCAAGAGAGGAAGGGAAATGCTCCAATGCCTTTTATGACCTAGCTTCGGAAGTTACACACCATCACTTCATGTTCTACTGGCTGCACAGGCCAGCTCAAGTCATTGTGGGAGTACATAAGGCCATGAATACCAGGACCAGGACGGATCACTGGGAGTAGTCAAAAGCTGGCTGAGAGCTTGGAGTGAGGAGCCACATGGGAACAGTGCTTGGACTTCTTGGCGTGTTGGGGCAGATTCTAAGCAATGTTGATACTGGGGCTTCTAGGAAATAGGTGCAAAAATGGTTGTGTGCTGGAGCAAAATGCCTGCCACTGCTGACTAGCACTGGAGAGCTAAAGGCCTCTCCGCCTTCAGTATCCCTCAGCTGGCTCCTATTGGCAGGCAGAACTTAAAGGAAGCCAGTTGTCGGGGAAGCCTGGGAGATGCAGTTTTCAGCATCCTACCAACATGTTGATACACAACAGAAAATGGCACGTGCTTTGGGGACTGAGATGTAATAGTAACCAGTAGAGTCTACCACTGTGGCTACTCGTTACCTATACACATATTTAGTTCCCATTCAACTCACCAACTTTATGCTTCCAGCGAGCAAAGATGCCAGGAGCCTTTGTTCAGAGACATTGCCATTCTCCCCGTAAATGACAGGAACGTTCTATGGACATCACAGCCATCACTTGGAGATGTTGATGCCAGCCCTAACTCCACCTGACAAACTGTCACCTAAAGACTTAAACTGTGAAATCAATCACCAATTGTTAGGTGCCGTCGAGTTGCTTCTGGCTCATAGTGACCTTGTGTACAACAGAATGAGACCCTGCTGGAGCCTGTGCCAACCCCACAACCGTTGTTAGATGCGAGCCCGCTGTTGCAGACACTGTGTTAGTCCATCTCGTGGAGGGTCGTCTTTTTCACTGGCTCTCTGCTTTACCAAGCATGATGTCCTTCTCCAGGGACTGGTCCCTCCTGATAACATGTCCAGAGTAAGCGAGATGAAGTCTCACCATCCTTGCTTCTAAGGAGTGTTCTGTCTGTACTTCTTCCAAGATGGGTTTGCTTATTCTTCTGTCAGTCCATGGTATGTTGTTGTTGCTGTGTTGTTGTGTGCCGTCGAGTCGGCCCCGACACATAGCGACCCCTCCTTGGGTTTCCGAGGCAGTCTCATTATGGAAGTAGACTGCCCAACCTTCCTTCTGAAGAGTGGCTGGTGGGTTTGAACCATCAGCCTTCTGGTTAGCAGTCAAGTGCCTTAGGCACTACGCTACCAGAGCTCCTACTCCATGATATGTTGTTGTTATATGCTGTCAAGTCGGCCTGACTCATAGTGACCCCCTCCTTGGGTTTCCAAGGCAGTATCACTACGGAAGTAGATTGCCCAGCCTTGTCGATATTATTCACCAACACCATAATTCAAAGGCATCAATTCTTTGGCCTTCAGTCTTAAACAATACTTAAGTAAATCAATGAAGAGGGAGGGCAAACATAGTTGATAGTATACAAATACATACTAAGCAAAAAAGAAGATAAGCATAGCTGCTAGTCCTCATTTCTAAAAGCTGGTCCTAAGCTCCACTGATTTTAAAGAGCTTCTTTGAGGCATAGTTTGCATACTATACAATTCATCCACTTAAAGTGTAAAATTCAATAGCTTTTTAATATAGCCAGAGTTGTGCAGTTATTACCACAATTTAGTTTCATATTTTCATCATCCCCAAAAGAAACTCCATAGCTGTTAGCAGTGACTCCCCTTTCCACCCCTCCCCCAGCCTTGGGCAATCACCAGTCTACTCTCTAAATTTGCCTGTTTTGGACTTGGTGTAAGTGGAATCGTACATAAGTGGTCCTTGGTGTCTGGCTTCTTTCACTTCAGGAGTTCTGGTGGTGGTGTGGGCTCTGGATTCTGCTGCCACCATCTCTGTCAGCTGTCTGCCACGGAGGTCCAGCGCAGGGGTCTCTGGGCCAAGGATGTGCTCCACTCGCCCTCTGGCTCTTCTCTCTTGATGGCAGTGACACCCCTTCCTCTGCCTCTAGGAGGTCTCATTTTAAAACCAGTGAGATGACAGAACTGACCAGTCATCACATTAGTAAGGGTTCCATACACCTTATTTCCATGGTCCCACCCCCACAAGCATGCCATGTGCCTTATTTACATTGTTAGGAAGCTATCCAATCCCCTCGGTGGGCCTCAAGCACCTTACATTTGCATAGCCCCGCCCAGCAATCTGGTGGGAGTCACAAAGACCATGGCTACAAGAGCCATGCCAAGTAAGTCACTGTATCACAAGGTGCAATATTAGGTTGAAGTTTGACATAGATGTTGTTGTTGTGTGCCGTTGAGTCAGCCCCGTCTCATAGCAACCCCTCCTTGGGTTTCCGAGGCAGTATCACTACGGAAGTAGGATTGCCCAACCTTCCTTCCGAGGAGTGGCTGGTGGGTTTGAACCGCCAGCCTTCTGGTTAGCAGTCAACTGCCTTCAGGCACTATGCTACATAGATAGAGACATTTAAACCAATGACTATTTCTGCATGCTGTGACCTGTTATTATAAATACGTAAGAACTTAAAATTTACCTGAAGTCAATTTTGAT